CTCGTAGCAAAACTCGAAGCATGCTATTGTCTTTCTTAGCATATGGCGAGTCACTAGACACGGTGCCAATTGTTGATGGCTCTGCAACCGGAACAATCTCGTCAGCCTGCTCAACACTGCTTTCCTCATTATTTTCGGCTTCGGTAGTTTCGCTTGTCTCCCTTGCGGAGCTCTCCTCGCTATCCTTGATATATTTATCCAAAAGTTTGAGTCTTTCTATCAAAGCTGCCTTGTCATCATTACTGTATTGCGGCACTAAGCGCCTCCAACACTGTTCTCTAAGCGACTCAAGATGCATATCTTCATACTCAAGAATCCCAGTCTCAAGCCATTTGATCATCGCATCCTTTGTTCCATATCCTGGTGCACCTTTCTTCCTCGCGATTCTACAAAGCTCCCAAGCACTGAATAGGCCCCAATTCGTCTTTTTAGGATCATAATCCAAGGCTCCTCGGTCCCCAGTTTTCTTCGTAACAACAGGAACATCATATTTCGACGATTCATGCATTGGTACCTCTGCTGGGAGTGAATGGCCTATCCTACTCTCTAAATCCATTCTCGTATCCGCAAGTTTCTTTTCCCATCGTTCCAGCTCCGCAGGTACTTCGAATCCCATAAGCGTAGATATCTCGACTTTTTTCTTCCGCGCCAGCTTTTGGTCATCCGCCTCCAACCATCCAATTAACTCAGAATCTTCACAAACAACTTTTATCTTTCTTCCTTGTTGCCTCAAATCCATTAGGGATTTCAAATCCGCCACTTCCAAATCTCGGTATAATTTTTCCCCTTCCTCGCCGTAAACCCAATTCATCAGTTGTTCATATCTCAGTATCTCATTTTGACAAATCACAAGATGAGTGTACAGACTGTATTCTTCCAGGTTCCCATTGTCTCGATCCAAAGCATCATCGTATCTCAATCGTTCAATTCGCGCCGCTTTCGTAACTCCACTACATGGAAGCATCCGCGCACTCAATAGTGTGGAGAGTTGATCACAGGTTAAACTCTCATAATCATCTCCGTAACCCCTCATCTCATGTCTCTCAAGCCTCTCGATCATCGCCATCCTGTCCATACTCTCCACCTCCTCCGGCTGCATCACTCGCCAATCGCGTAACAATGCCCTTAACTTACTATTATCCTTTGTTCTATAATTGATTCGATGCCCATGCGAGTTTTGTGAGGGAACTGCGGCCGCGTTTCTCGAAGATGTCGCGGAAGCCTTCTCGGCGATTGGCGCACTCGGAGAAGTCAATGCCTTATTCTTGACAGTCCATAGATCTTTCAAGCCTTCCTCGTGCCTTTCCTTTATCTTCGCACTTTGCTCTGCAGCATCTATCCTCGCAGACTTCCTGCGCTCTGCCTTTCCTGAATCCATGGGCGCGACATGCCCATCATTATCTCTCAACCTCTGGATTAACACATCCTTCGTCCCGTTACTCGGCATGGATCTCTCCTTCAACATCTCCACCAACTCTCCTTTACTTTTCGATGCGTGATCATCACTAAGTGTAACATCCTTCTCCTTATGTTTCTTGTTCGGTGGCAGAATCACGTTCGTGTCGGCTTGCGCCAAAGGTCGTTTCGTCGGTGGCATATTGTTATTGTTGTCGTCAATATGTGGGTATTAAAGCACAATGATTAAGTGAAATATAATCTCAGGTACAAAGTGGAGAATTTTAACACGTTATCTATTTTGATGTGTGAGTGATTATTTACTTTTCTAATTGACGCGACGACATATGACGTCAGAGCTCTTCGGCTCAGATTGTCGCGGCCAGGCTGGAATGGTTTCAATGTTTGAAAATAGATTGTCCGAGATTATGATACGATCAGCGGTTTCGATGACTTAAATTTGCTAAATAATCTAGAAAGTTCTAAATGGAGTGAATATTCCACAGTGACCCTTGTCTATATCTCAATCTCTTTTGCTATCATACAATTCTATCACTGCTATCATACAATTCTATCACCCCCATCTTACAACAAGTGTGCTATTAAATATCCAATAAACCCAAGTCTATAGCCACCATTTCTAGAATCAGGAACTGATAATAATAAAAATACTTAAAACGGTTTTCCAGATGTATTGTACCAAGTAGATAATTCCACGATTCTGGCTTCAGTCCTTCCATATACCATTGCCATACTTTCTCGCCCATTTCTTTCTTTGATGAGCAGCCCCATTGAGCTGTCCTGGCATGAGCAGTCGTTTCAGGAGGATTGCCCTAACTATCATGAACAGCACGCCTAACCAAACGACAACCAGAAAGACACTAATCACGGTGCCAACAATCCGAATAGCATTAGACCCAAATGCCGTACCAATCTGTATCGTAGCCGTGGCTAGTGCTGTATTTGGAAAGACAAACGAGTTCCTAATTATGTTAGTAACAATGCTCGAGATGTTTGAGATGGGAAGATTCTTGCCATGTCATGTCCGCACTAATGTGATGCTCCGGGTGATTAGGTTGCATAACTTGCCAATGAGCGCCTACAGATATCAAACAGAACCAAAGGCATAAACCCCAGATGAAGAGTCCTGTAAAACTCCCCATCAAGTATAAAACGAAAGGGCCCTCGGTGTTGCCAAAAATACCATTGGGTAGGATGGTCGTCTGCACCGAATTAGAGAGAGAAACGATTGCTGTCACTGTGAAACCGGAAGGGCCAACTGATACGAACTATTGATACTTAGTTAATAATTGAAACAATAATTACAGGCATGACTTACCATTCCAGGTCGTGTTGTCTCTTGGGGGAGTTTCTTGGTCATCAATCGATAGAGGAAAGCACTGTAGATCATGAGACTGAGGAGAAATCCAATTCCTTGGAAGCAAACTGCCCCGAAAGCTATAGCAGTGGAATTGATGCGTGCAGCCGCAGTTGCATTTGGTAAAGTAGAGATAAGATTCGCCGCAACTGGACCAGTCAGTAGTAACGGGTAGGCAGGGAAGGTCCAGAGAGGAGTCATATTAGCAATGGGAAATTCTCTAAGCAGTAATATAAGCCGACGTTCTGCAAAGAGGAGTTAATACTCAGACTTACTGAGTGGACCAAAGCAATAGGTACATGCCGGATGATGCAACTACGCTCAAAGTGCAATACGCCCAAAAGCATACCTGCATGGTAGTTTGGAACCATAGGCCAGTCTTGGGGATTCCATACTGACACATGGTCACGAGAATTGTTCCCACTCTACAAAGGTTCAGACGTGATTCTTTAGCTGAGACAGAAAATTACTCACGATATCATCTAATCATACATTAGACAGGTATTCAACAGACACTGATACTAGAGTCGACTTACACAAGCAGGAATATACAAAGATTCGGATGGACTAAGGAAAGATTTAGAGAAACTTCCAGGGTTCCATTTGAAGCGAAGAGAGATTAATATACAATTCATTACAAAGAATATAAGATTAAGGAAGAAGACTATTTCTCCAACGATTCTCAGCCAATTCGATCGATATGGGACTGTTGGATGTTAGAGCCGGTCCCAAATGTAATTGTATCGATTGACATACTTGAATAAAGGACATTTGCAATTCCTCCAGTGGCCATTGTTAGAGTGAACCATGTCCATGTAACACAACCAATGCGATCACGAATACTGACTTTGGCAACTGCAGTATCCTCAGTGTCTGGCTGTTGATCAACTCCATTTATTCCATGATCACCTCCCGCATCGGAGGCATCTAATACTGTAAAGCCTCTGTGGCTTGCGTTGCCATTGGTATATATATTCCCATTCCCATTCCCATTCCCGTTTCCATTTCTATTTCTATTCCCACTTGCACTCCCATTGGTATGTTCATGATTGTTTTCTATATCGGATTTTGGCCCTCGGTTTCTATGAACGCTTTCATTCGCAGATGAATCATCTTTTAAATAGGAAATTTGAGGTTCGTCCAGGTTGGGTTGAGGAGTATCATTCATCAATCGTGGTAGAGGTGACGTAATTGACATTTCTTGAATATATCTTCCTCGGGTGCCGTTGCGCAAATCTTCGATACTGCATATAGGACGAGTAGAAAGAAAGGTCCCAGCGAAGTGAGAGTGAAGGTAAAGTTCACCAGAGTCGTTAAGAATATTAGAATTTGTAGAACGATGGATCCAACATTACTCAAAGCCATGGTGAACGTAGGTAGTTATAGAGGGTGGTTTTGAAAAGACTCCGAAAGAGGGGAGGGTGGATGGGTTCCTGGAAGAACGGCACTATTTTGGGGCTCGACGAGTTGATTTTACTTTGTAGTTCGGAAGAAAAGGCTTCGGCAGAGACTTGGGATTGGCTATTGGCGACTGGAATTGGTCGAGCGTTCGAGACTAGGTAGGATGGAGGTTTCTTGGACTTTGGGATTCGGGCTTGAAATTATTGTTGTGGATTAAAGAGAGGAAGAGATGAGACTAAAGCATCGAGCACCCCTGACTATAATTGTGGGTTATACCGTCACCACAGCTTTTAGCGTGTGATTTAGATCATTTTGGGCGGTAGACAGGGGCAGAATCTTTTGCCGAAAACTCCGCTTTCAATATTAATTAATTTATCTCTGTGTCTCTCACGTGTCTCTCTCTCTCTTTCAAGTCACAATCAATCAATCTCTACCAGCGATAGTGAAAATCACACATTTGTTCCTCTCTCCACCTCTCTATCAATCAAAAGTTATCAGCAATAGTGATATACATACATTCGTTCATGCCTGTCTCGTCTCAATGTCGCATCTTGTTATACTGGAGACTACGAGATAAGGACAATATACCTATCCTCCTTGATGAGTGCAATTCGATATACTATCTATGTTACACTACTAATCGTCTTTCTCAACCAATCTCCTATTGTCCATTCACAATTTCTCTGTCCTCTGATTTCATCAAATCGATTTCTTTACTTACCTCATCGTGCTTATTAATTTTTAATTCCATTGTTCCCTTTCAGCCGTGAATTTTCAAGGGGATTCTTAACTACCTACCTTCATCAGATTCATCGCGTTCTCTATCATGCTCTTGAGGTCATTAAATTTTGGTCCTGTTGCTTTCTCATCTGTCTCGGACAAACTCTCTCTGCATTTAGAGTACGAGGTTGTTATTAGACTACCGTCTGGAAAGCTGGAGACCTTGTCGGTGGACGAGTGTCTGAAAGCGTTGACATCGGGGGAAATATGGGTCGCCAGTGGGAATCCATGTCGCGTTGATTTCGTTATTGATCTCGATGGCAAAGAATCGTTTGGAGCTAATAATAATCATATCATCGAGTTGTTGGGTAAGTTCGTCGCAGAGTCAAAGGTTTGTCAGATCAACACTCTAGAGAAAAATTGACTTACTCACCATTTAAAGATATGGGAACAGCTGGGATTATCCGCAATACTTCACTTGCAAAATGAACCACTACAGAAGAACAATCTTTCTCTTCAGCTAAACAATAAAGAACCTTTAGATTCACCGGTTCTCGACGTTCGACCTTGGTCATGCACAACTACCGATATTAGGATACCGGACGCACAACTCTGCGCTCAGATGGAACAGCTAAAAGTGCTCTTATCATTTCGACATATATCTGGAGGGATTCAAACTTCAAAAAGACGGAAACCATTGCCCCTAGATTCGGTGGTCGGCAAAGGGTCCTCTCAGATATTGAAGATCGCGCAGTCAGGCATGCCAAAAAAATCTTTGGTTATCAAATTTGGCCCCAGTGAGAACATATCGTCACTCCTGGAAAGGTATTCCAACTCTAGGGAACGATTTCACACTACTCAAGCAAGCGTACCCAGCACATCATCAACCATTCAAGTTGGCTCCAAAGTAGAAATTTCCAAACTCTTGAAAGAATGTTCTGAGAGTTTATACTCGAGTATCACATTACATGCTATACCTGCTTTATCTCAATTGAGCTCTTTCATAAGTTCGGGTCCATTCTCCCAATTCCCATCCACTTCTAGATATGTGACTCCTTCGAGTAATTCTCGTAAGAGGGTGAAAAGGGCTCCTAAAATTTCACGGAGAGTGGAAACTAGTTCTTTAATCAAGCAAGACGATGCTTCCACGTCACCAGAAGATGTAGCTTTTGACGAAATGCTGCTTCTATCCAGCGACGAAAGACATTGTGCTCGAACCTCGAATAACAACTCATCGAATTCCCCCACTATCGGAACTGTTTCCCAAAGACGCAGCGCAACTCTCAATTCTCAAGATGAAGCATACGTACTTGATCCTACAGCGTCATGCAAGCTCGTTACTGCGGCGATACATGTTATGATTGCTGGAATCGATGGTAGACAGAGAACAACAAAGGGGGTAAAGATTGACAATATCTCAAACATATCAGCTATTTCTCTGACAGCCTTGAGTCCTGTCATTTTTTCTCCGGGTTTCAAGAAGGTAGTATCAGCACTTTCTCAAATCCGATTCAATTACTAAGTGACATAGTCGGTAGCTCATAATTCTCGCTACACTCCTAGGATCATTCAAATGATGACCTCATTGGCACGCAATGCCCAAACACCAGGCCTACGACAAAAACTTGAGCAGATTGCAAACATGGCGACCTCTGAATTTGTCAACGTAAAAACTGATGAAGAAATACATGGTGAGCTAGGCTCTGAGAAAAGGCTGACAGCCGTGGTGCAATCTCGACTATGGTCAATGATGCAACGAACATTACATGATCTATCAGCTGCTCGCCAGATTATCAACAAACGTTCGACTTCAGAGAATGTTGTTATGACTGAGGGGATTGACGAATACGAAGATCTTTTGGACTCTATCGTCGATGACGCTGACGTACAAGATTCAGCAATGGTAGACGATGAATTTCGATGGATTATGGATAATCACAGTGAAATTTCGGCATTCGACAATATACTTAGTGATGATGAAGGTGTGCCAGACCATGAATTTGATGATCTACTTCTTGAAGTTGACGACGATGCCTATGAGTCACTGTTAAGCGGTGAAGAAATGGAAAGATTGGCAATAGAGTCGGAATCCGAGGAGATTTTTTTCGGCCACCGTTGGCAACTTGAGGATGAAGAACAATATCACGATTTATTGTTAGTCGTTAAAGACTCGGGTCATGACGAATTGTTGCTTGAGGAGAAATCCGGTATATTGGAGGAATGTTTATTATACAACAACGATGAACTGCTGGTAATTTGAATTCGAACTCGAACCGGATCATGTAGCCGTCGCACCAGAAACCAGAATATCAAAAACCCGGACTAAAGTCTATTACGTCAAGGCGCGCGCGCTTCGTAACTTCAGCGTAGCAAAAGCCCGGTGTATATGGAATCATTTGCTAATAGAAACACGAGTGTCTTACACGTTGATTGGAGTTGATAGTTCTAAGGATTTTTGTGGTAAGCGAACAAAAGTTGTACGATGTGGTTCGTGAATGGTGGGGTTGACAAATGGGTCGAAACCAGCATGAATGAAGACTTGGGCGAAACCATGACTCCAGTTTGTACTAATATTTCATATCGAAATAGAACAAAGCTTTCCTAGCTACCCATTGCGGGAGATATATACTCGCAATGAAGTACTATCTATGCAATAGAAGATCTCAAATCACAATCGAAAGAACAACGATACCAAATATGGCCATTTGGTCAGTCTCTTCGCTGAAAACTGTTGGATTTTACATGACTAACACAACCATTCGATTAGCAATAAATCAACAATCCTCAATTTTTGGATCTCCTTCACAATGACTTGAGAACTAAATGTTCCAGCTAATATATAGATGAAACGACTAATTTCTCAGACGAGCAAAGCCGATCGAGCTGCCATATTAAAGTGATTTCAACGTTGCCAAATACTGATCACTCGTGGATGTCAGTGCTACAATCATAGCTGAGGCGCCCTTACTACACATGGTGAAATGCTCTTGTAAAACCATTGTCAATGGAGATGATCGAAACGGAATTCTTGCTTGACCGGCAGACCACGCACTTATGACCTCTTTCAGCGCCAGCAGTTCAGTATTAATCTGACGACCCTCTTGGCGTTCTTGCGGAGTCTGTTCATCGTCGATATCTCTAATTCTGGAATGTACTGATATTTTGCTCCGGCCAGATTGACAAAGATCATTTTGTCGCCTATACGTGGAGGATGAGTTTGCGATTCGATTGTGTTGATTTTCTTTTGCAACCGCAATAGGTTCTTCGTAAGATGGCTTTTCCGCTTAGACTTGATGAATACCTTCTTAATCGATCTGGTAGTTTGGGTTGTGGATCCAAGCTCCATCAGCACTCAAAGTTGCAACCTTTGATTGCTCTTCAATACTAGTATCTGTTGCTTGTTTGCCAACCGGAATTCACTCTTCCTCCTTTCTGTTAATTTATCTCACGCTTCAATAAGCTGACCATTGATAATTCCAAGCTCCAGAATCGCATGCATCCTCAAGCTTTGATCATGTACGCTTGATGATTCTGCCGTGCGTCTTCCCAGACTTTCCTGGAATTCTTCTTTCAATGAATCGAATATTCAACAAGCTCGCCGTGCAATACCCTGGATGCACACTTTGCAGCCATCTAAAAGTTCAGATTTCCCATGAAGATCGGGTTTCTTTGTCCGAGACTTCACGAATAAAACATTCATTGCTTCCATTCAATAGATCGACCGTGGTCTTCTTACAGCGAGACATAATCCCAAATCACTACCTTCCTCATACTCATGACCTACTGTAGGATCAGTTTTCCGCTGTCACTGTGTTCATATGCGAGGATATTGTAGTCTGAGCCGGCGACAACTTGGTGGATGGCTAACGTGATGATTTGCTAATGTATAGTCGTGTTGTTTATTTCGAGACCTAGGATGTTGTTAAATGAAGGAGGACTTGTCCTTGGATGAGAGAGCGGCGCTTGTGGACATGAAGTGGAGATAGTTAGGAGAGGAGGAGAGGCTGTGGTCAATCTAGTTGACGAGGGTCTTTGGGTCTGACAAATCAGGAAGGCACTCGACCTTAAGATTGGATTGTGGTGGGGTAACTCTTGTCTGGCTCTTTGTGGAGTCGGATTCTGTGGTGGACACCAGCGGCTGTATACGTCTAGGGTTTTGGAGGAATCGTTATTCGACATGATGCATGTAATCAAACGGTGCGAGTATCTCAGGAATCTGCGAGTGATGAATTTCATCCAATCACCTGATCAATGTCTAAATGTATGTACGATATATGAATTCCTTCATAGTCCCTCCAAAGGAATTGACAGAGTTATTATGTACGCATCACTTGGCAAGATTGTAGAACATATCTGTATTATCCAGAAATTTATAACTGCTGAGAGATATCCGGATAGTATTGCACATTAGATACTAGGTAGGTAATGAAGATATACTTACTAATAGAACACAACAATTGCTTTTGGGTCCCTTGCATACTCGGCGTACAGTTGTAAGTTACTATTCTCGAGCCATCGTTGTTGAAAGTTGCGGTGCGAAGAAGCATATAAGCTAGACCCAATTAGTACTAGTTGAGATAAGCTTAGGACAATTGGCGTTCTTCCGTTCTTCCGATCGTAACCTCTTCTCCTCTCTCCTCTCTACTAAATTTATCACAATCTCGAGATAGTCTAACTGCCCTCATATTCTAGCCTTATACTTCCCATCGCTCCTCATGGTCAAAGAGTCACAATCAAGTCTCGTTCATCCTTCCGTTCTTCCTATATCCAATCATCCAATCATCCAAAACCTGGTGGTAGCATTGGAACGAATACTTTGTGGCTCGGACGATGTGACAGCTCATTGGCTCCATATATTAAACGCGAAGCCATCCACGGTCCCATGTTCACCTGAACTTCACGCCCCTGCCATCACCAACGAAATCCTCGGACCCTGATTTCTATTTCTACGTCATCTCTGCCAAGCATCAAGATTTCTTCAAAATACACATACATGCGAGTAGCACACTGCCACAATGTCGAAAAATCTTGAAATGAATCCCTTGTCGTTACAATGTGTGAATCAATTACCTCACCGCCAACCATTCACATACGATGATGAACTACTGCCACGGATCCTGGAACACATGAGGAAGTACGATGATCTTATTTCTATATGTATATATACTGGATACTAAATACTCGGTCAAGCTGCAAGTATCGACAAATAAATTTCATCGTCACTTCTACTGAAACATAACAACAACAACTAAAGACCCATAACCAGCCTCCTCCAAAACTTAAATTTTTTTTCACATCGAACAAAACTTGATCCATACCCCCATATTTCTCATCTCTCGGCAACTTTAATATTTATATCGAAGATATCGATCTACAATATTCCTAGAAATCATCCTCTGGAGATCAGATTCTACACAATACCTTCAAATTAATTTTCCACCGATAATCATACCGAAATCATGGCTTTCGCATTCACCCTCCCTCTTCGCATCGTACAGGCGGTCTTCTCTATCATCGTCCTCGGTTTGATGGCCTATGGTATGTACACAGTTCCCCTCATATTCCCTCTACTCATTACTAACACCATCTAGCTGCCGACGCATGGTCCTACTGGTGGTCACCCGATTCCGTCAACTTCCTCGTCTTTACAGCCGTTTGGACTATCCTCGCTCTCATCTACCTTATTATCGCACCCACCCATTTCCCAACTGCAGCACATAAATATGGAATCCTATTTGCCGAGGCTGTCACCATGATCTTTTGGTTTGCAGGCTTTATTGCCTTGGCTGTTATGCTTAATAATGTCAATTGTGGACATTCCAACTGGAGCGTATGTGAAGCTAGCATTGCTGGAGATGTTTTCGCCGCTTTCTTATGGTACGTATCTCTTTCTCCGTTCTCGATGAGCTTTTTAAGTTGTAGAAGAATGGGAACTAACTTTGGGTGAATAGGTTGTTGTTCCTTGCTACTACCATCATGGCCGCTTTACACGTTTCCCGCAGCAGTCGATCCAGCGATCGTCATGATCCTGCCATGGAAGTTGCCGTCTAAATACCATCTTACGATGTCGGGCAATGTGGATATGCATCGAGGCTTGATACCTTCACTTCTATGAATGTCTTTTGAATATAATTGGTTATGGATGATAGTATGGGGGCGTTTGGCAAGGGGTTGGGGTTTGGTTTTGGTGACGAATACGTGGATACGTGATTACGATAAACGAGATATGAAGGGGGAATGTTGGGTGGGGTGATGGAGGGGTGGTGAACGTTCGACTTTTTATACCCAAAATTGCTTGCTTTTTGTTTTGTTGTTGAATAACAATAATTATCCTGATATCGTTTAATTTGTTTGTTTGTTGAAGTTATGGTGATTTTATGTATTTTTATGTGATCCTATGTCTCTATACTCTCCTACTTCCTTCCACATATTTGGAGTAACTCTGCATTACTTTTCTTCATCACACTGTTAGCTCTAAAACCTGTTGAAATCCTGCTGGCATATGTTGAGGTCCGGTCAGGCGTCGTGTAGTCTCGATGTTCTTTAGTGCTTGCTTTATTTAATTCCTTCCCCAATGTTCAAGTACGAAGATCATTCAAGTACGAAGATCTTGACACAGTACCCAAGTATGACGGGCCAGAAACATTTCTATTATAGTCCTGCGCAGTGCTATGCAATAGACATAGTTTCTAGCTCGATTGAGTGAGATTGTGGGTTATCTGTGTGTGTTTCAGTTTTCCATTGGTGCGTACGTAGTAGGTATGCAACGTTATCCTCTGACTTAAGCTCAACAAGACCGCTTTCGCACATGAAAGCATCAATGGTAGAATAAAATCGCTACATTTATCAAGAGAATATATATTCAGCACACATCCAGCTTCCCCGACGTTCAATAAAGAGACCTGCAGTTTGATGATCAAAATTCTCCTGCAATTGATCGTAGATCCTCAAACTCTAGTCCCCTCTAAATACTCATCTCGTGTGTATTTTATCCGCGCTTGTACATGGAAATGATCGTGTAATTGATAATGGGTTTTCACTTTCATGATGAATGCTTTACAATCCTCGCACACATCCTTGGTAACTACAATGTAAACTCCACGCGGAGCTACCTCTCGAAGCTTGCAGCGGAAAAGATGATGATTTTCATCTATCGACGCCGGCAAACGATGGAGACACTGTGCGAAATAATACGCAACGAGTTTCTTCTCTGCGTGGCATGCGTTAAAACTGCCAGATTTGCCACGGTCGTTTTTATCAGAAGCAAGGTGATGGCCAATATTATGGCAGAGATGTTCGACCTTCTCGGTCCAGTCTTCCCAGCCGCTGGTTGCACTCTTTGAAGGTATATCAGAATTGTGACCGAAACTTATATGTGCTAAATCATATATTGTCAGTTTGGAAGTTGTGGGAATTGAGGGCAGTCGGTGGAAATCCCTTTTTTTTTCAGAGTATTTGGGATATTAGCAACTCACCTATTGTTTTGTATTCTTCAAAACGTGAGAGAGGGTAAGTTCTCTGGATGAACAGTTCCTGATAGCATGATGGGGATCTCTCACGAGGTGTGAAGTAGATTTCTTCAGTGCAAGGCGGCTGCGTGGGTGTCTCCAAATTGGCAGTCTGAGTAGATGTATTGATACTCTTTCTTTCCTCTTGAACGTCTTTTTCATCTGCTATTGGCGTTTTTGAGATTCTTCGAATATTGGAATTTCCCCATAGAGCCGCTTTCATTATTGAAGCGCGCAAAGCGTTTCGTTGCCTTGAATTATCCACAGCATCGACTTTTCGCGGGTCAATGTTGCGACTCTCCTCGATGGAACTATTCAAGACTTCAAAAATTTTGTCGAGTTCGGAAAAGTCATTGTTTGGAACTGTTATCGGCTCATTTGATTGAGCGAGTTCAATCCAAAGTTCACCAAAACTCTTCTCTCTTTCATTCGGTTCGTCATCAATTTGCAAACCCGACAGGTCTAATTCAACACCGCTGTCGCTTCGCTGCTGCTTGCCTTTCCCTTTTTCAGCAATGGCTTCATGTCCTGTATCTTCATCTACAGCTGACTCTGAACCATGCGTCTTGAAATCACTCAACTCCGTGTTGTCCTCGAGATTTATGTCTCCATTGGTTTCAGTGTTGTCATCGGGAACTGTCCCTCGTACATTCTTGCCATTCAGAAGACACAATTTTTGCTCCTTCGCTGGCTCCATTTTAGCCCTGGACTTGCGTGTGATTTTCTTCACAGAAGCGTTACCGGTGCGCTCTTCAAAATCTAGTTGATCATTTGGGTTTCTGGGATTTTTCAATATTGCGAGTAGAGTTAAATAATTTCTGAGGTTACATTGAAATGTATTACCCCTCATCATAGCTGGCAATCTGACTCAGCTTCATGGCATGCTGAGTGGTTGCACAGCCTAGACTGACTATGGGCGGTTTTGCAGTCAGCCTTGTATTTTGCCTTGGACAAAAATGCATTAGGGTCTATTATTGACTGGACCTCTTCAATAGAACTTAAAAGAAACTCACGAGATATTCAAACCAACTACTTAGATTGGTTGACGTCGTAACGCACATCCTAGAACGTAAGGCTTTTTATTTAATACAACTGTCGACCAACTTGTTTGTATTCTCGGTATCAAGTATGTCCTCAAGATGTGTACGAGATTCCACATGAAAGTGATCGGAAATTTCAAAGTGTTTTTTGACCTTCTCGATAAACTCCTTACAATCTTTGCAGATCTTTCGACTAACAACTATAAGAGCCCCTCGTGGGGCTGAAGCTTTGAGCTCTCGGTAGGGAACAGTATTTGGTAGTTTCATGTTGACTTGATGTCCTGCCAATGTGTTTTCGTAAAGATACCAAGCAATCAATTGTTTTTCCGCGTGACATGCATGGTACCTGCCGGGAAATCCATAGTCCAGATCTTTTTGATGGGGGAGTTTATGGTTGATGATCTTGCAAAGTTCTTCCACTTGTGATGTCCAGGTCAAGTTCGATATAATATCGTTTTCTTGGAAGGGTTGGTCCCAGCCACTAGCTGCGGTACATCGATGAAGACCATTTATATTGAGTCGAGCTTGCAAGAGTGTGTCAGCGCGATTCGGAGCACTCCGTTGAGGAAGTCTCAGGGTCTAAGTTTATAAGTCACTGACCTATTGTTGTTTTCTCTCTTGGTATAGGATAGCTATGCACAACTCATGGAACAAGCTGACATAATTCAACGTGCTGATTAATCGAGTTGTGGCGATATCATAACCAGCGTGAGTGATCTGGGTTGATATATTTGTGTTTATTCATGTCTTGTGACCGCCAGAGACTTATTTTCTCGAGTGAAGAGATTAATGAATCAATACTATCAGCAAATGTGTTGAGAGAATGATCGACCGAATCCGCAAGAACTTTAGGAGCGATGGAGTAGTCGATATCAGGACCAGGAGCATGATACTCTACTTCTCCGCTCTTCTCAAGGGATCTACTCAAGGTTTCACTTGTATCATCCTCTGAACTAGTGGATCCGGATAATTTTGGACCCGCATCCCTCCGTTTCGTAATCATGGCGCATAAGTCTTGATATCTTCTTTCTTGATTCTCTTCATTTTCTCGGTGTCTCCTTTCCTGGTTCACTTCACTTCTTTCCACCATTTGCTTGACCATATTCATCACCAAATCAAAAGGATAAAGTTCGGTCTGGGTTCCAGCCTCTGTAAGTGTGTCCACAATCTCAGTAGCATTTTCCTTCTCAACTCTAGGGACACACTCGACTTCTTGCTTGCTACTTTGACCCTTTGCACCCAAGTTCTCAACGGCGGCCCCGGTAACCTCTTCCTGCTCAGCCAGATTTTTGATCAATCTTGCAGTCTTAATATCGATTTCAGCGGTGCTTTCTGGTCTTGCTTTCTCAATAGCTGCCTGCAAACTTCCATCAGATAATCTCATAACTGGCCCTTGTACCACGGGGATTGTTTTGATCGCTTTCGAACCCAGTTTCCTCTTGTCTCCAGTGTTTTTCGATTTGACTGCCCGCTTAGTCTGTCCTCGTCGTGACTTTTGCTTCAGGGGAATAGCTGAATCACCTTCCGGCATGTTTGAGCAAAGCTTTGAAGTAATTATTGGCTGGAAGACTTCTGGGGGTTTAAGTGAACTCAGAAATAGTTCCAATGTGGACGATCAATTTATCTTTGCGTTCGCTCCTGGTGTGCCCGCTTGACCTGAGTCAGCATTTTTTTCTGCATGGTTGCACAGCATGAGATTCACGTGCGAAACACGTGCAAATTTCCCATTTATATTGAGACAAAATTCGAGCTAACATCTCCCTTCATGAAAAAGAACAATTGATCTCGCCTGTCCTCTTGTGTCAAAAGTCTTGATACCGTTGAAAAGATTAACTTCTTCCATGTAATAATCACCAAAAGCTAGTCCAGATCCGTACACGACAGTTGGATCTAAACGGCGGAGATGAGTGAATATCAGTACACGTATGGCAAATCACTTTGTATGATATGGCATGATTACTATAACTTCTCTGGGAGCTCCTCTCTCAATACTGTCAATAACGACTGGTTAAATACCTAGATCTTTATTTCGATTTTTGACTTCTCCCGGCAGTATCTTGCCTCAAGCGTCACCTTCATTGGCAGTAACATTGAATCATTGGTTCAGACCCAACTAAAGACTGTCTGTATACAATCTTAGCTTCCTATTCATGTACAGCTTGGCTAACAGTCTTAGATATTTCAAAAATCTCTCAAAATCAAACCTGCAGCATGTCCCAACCACCAGACTCCAAGGAGCAACCTCCTTGTCGCTTTTTTGGTTACCCAAAACCGGTTGAAGGTCCCGAAATCCCATTCAATATGCCAGTCGAAGTGAATCCAATTCAGAGCGGTATAGCTTTGGTTATTCTAGGATGGATGTGAGTAGAGTGATATCCGTTTCGGCGATTTGTGAAGGTCTAATAAGCAATTGCCAGCGTTTCTAAATTTGATTTTGTTCAAAAATTTATTTACAATAATGCAGGCTTTACTGTGTTAAGAGATCTTGACTTGGGAAACGCCACAGAGAGAATGAATGTAAAGAACTTCCCCTCTCAAATTGTTGACTGCATGTCTAACACAACTAGCCTCTTGTTATTCCACTTGCCAATGATTCGGAAGTTCCATACGTTCCTGACCTTGACCGATCTTCTTTTCAAGATTTTCCCGGTCGTTATCATACAGTCGCAGATTATCACGAAAAGTATCTTTCTGAAGAACTCACCCCTCTCGCAGTATGTAAATCTCTACTTCCACTCATCCGTCGAGATATTGCTACACCATCCCATCATGCCATTTCTTTCATCGCGACAAACTTTGAATCCGTCCTAGATGCTGCCGAAAAATCAACAGCCCGTTATGCGGCAGGCAAGTCACTTGGATTACTCGACGGTATTCCAACAGCTATCAAAGATACGACACATATAGCTGGATATCGAACAACCAACGGAAGAGCTGCAAGCAACGACCTCTTTCCAATATCAGAAACTTCTGATTGGCCAATTCAAAAATTAGAAGAGTGTGGAGTAATTATCCTTGGTAAAACGAACATGTACGAATACGGCACCGACACCACAGGCTTAAATCCATACTGGGGAACTCCTCGGAATCCACACAACCGAAATTACTATACAGGAGGCTCTTCATCTGGTTCAGCTTACGCTGTAGCAGCCGGGTTGGTACCCTTCACTTTTGGAGCTGATGGAGGAGGAAGTATCCGTATTCCCGCTGCTTTTTGCGGGATTTATGGATTGAAACCTACGTATGGTCGCCTAGAAGACACATCAAGTACCGTTGTCGTCACTGGTCCCTTGGCATCTTCAATGATGGACCTAGAAGCCATGTATCGAGTTCTTGCACAACCAGATCCATCCGATTCAATTTGCCAATCTTTTGCGCCTCCAAGCAAAATTCTTACTTCAAGTTTGCAGCCAAAAATTATAGGCATCTATAAGCCGTGGTTTGAGCGGTCCGATGCTTCAGTTCTTGAGGTGTGCCAAAAAGCCATAGATTACTATGAGAACCAACTGGGTTATGAAGTAGTCGATATCGAACTGCCCTACATACCCGAAGGACAAAAGGCCCATGTTTCCACTATCCTGGCCGAACTAGCCATTCGTGCGCGTTCCAATCATCTTCCAGATCGAAAACCTACCTCAACTTCATGGCTTGCCGATCTCAATCCAGCAAACAAAATAGCTCTTGGAGTTGGTTCACAGATGACCGCTCAAGACTATCTTCTCGCACAGCAAATGCGTAATATCCTCATGCAACATCTGGCGTTTCTGTTCGAGATATATCCGGGATTACTCATTGTGACCCCGACGTGCCCTATGCCAGGATGGGATATAAAGTCTGAAAGAGATCTCAAATATGGTTCTACGAATGGTAATCTTACCTTTCGTAGTCTGGAATATGTGTGGATTGCCAATTTGTGTGGAAATCCTGCGATTAGTGTTCCTGTTGGATATGTTGATCCCGTTGAGACGGCTGGTGAAGGGAAGGTTCCGATCGGTCTTATGGCAATGAGTGATTGGGGATCAGAAGATCAATTGTTGGGATGGGGTAGGGAGGCTGAGATTTATTTGAATCATGTTTATGAAGGTGGCAGAAAGAGACCCAACGGGGAAGGCTGGGTTGATGTCTTTAAGCTTGCAAGTAGCCAGATGGAGACCGTCTCATAAACCTAGGATTTGGGCATTAGATCTGAGGATATCGGTTTAGGTTTCTGACTTTATGGTGAAAGATAGAGTGTGGAGCCGGGAGTCACGGAATTGGTAATCTTGCTTTCTCTTATCAAAGCTTAGTTAAACTTTATTTCCTGTCTCGAAAGTGATGGTATCTGCTATTTCTTTGCGATCAAGAATGGAGTACCTGACTAATGGGTAGACTTACTCCATTAATCTTAGCGTGACCGAAAACTTTCTCGTATCTGGATAGCAGGGGCCCCTGTCGTCCAGATAAGCATGCATCAACCCCACTAATTCTAGATTCAGACAGAAGCTGTCTTCAAATCATCGTCGTCAGCGTGCCCACTCATCATGACATCTTGATCTAGGATGAAGACGTCAAGAAGTATACAAATAGTCGCTATGTAGCTCATAAAGTTGAACTGTCCCCAATCCTTTCCCGCACTTTTGCTCTTGACTTTTTGTCCTGTGCTATCTTGTATGATTAGTTCAACATGCGTTTTCTCAATCTCATCGCGACTGTATGTCTGAGTTCTTTTACTGCAGCTTCACGAACTCCAGATGCCTCTTCTCAACTTCGTACAAGATCTCTAAATGGCACTCACGTCAAAGCAATCACACCAAAAGTATTCATTGTGGACATGGTGAGCAAAAGATCATAGCTCGAGTAGCAGTCTATTGACTCGAAACATAGTTTTCAGATGAAGGAGAAGCATGGTATGGCATCAAAGAATTTGATATTCTGGCTAGGAATATCACTGTGCCTGGCATAAGTCCACTTTTCCCCGAGGTACATTGTACACTAGACGGAGAAATTTGCCAAGTTATAACTGGAGAAGGAGGTAAGAAATTGAGTTCCTATGCGGCAAAGAATGTCTCCTTGGGTCTAGCTAAAAATTACAGAAATAAACGCTGCTGTGACAATCAATTCTATTGCATATTCACCTCTCTTCGACTTGAGCCAGACCTATTTCCTCATCGCGGGTATCGCAGGTGTATCTCCAAAGGTGGCCACCATTGGTGTAAGTATCAATTCTGTTCCCGTTAGGGTATTATGCTGATATAACCAAGGCTGTAACATTTTCCCGTTACGCTGTGTCTGTAGCTCTTCAATACGAAATGGATGCTAGAGAAATGCCTTCTAATTGGACCACTGGATATTGGCCTCAAGGATCTTACTCGCCAACAGAAACAGTGACTGAAATCTACGGTACTGAAGTTTTTGAAGTCAATGAACCACTACGACAGATCGCCATGGATTTTGCCCGAACAGCTGTTCTTAATGATACCGCCGATGCAATGAGCTATCGAGCTCTATACGGTGCCACAGAAGCATATGCTCTCGGTGCTCAACCACCTTCAGTTGTGGCTTGTGACACTGCAACCTCAGACGTCTACTTCACCGGAGAGCTACTCGCCGATGCTTTTGAAAATACTACCTCGCTGTGGACAAATGGAAGCGGTATTTACTGCACTACCCAACAAGAAGACAACGCCACTCTGGAAGCTCTTCTCCGAGCCGCCACTAATAGTCTTGTTGATTTCTCCCGTATTATTATCATGCGTACTGCATCTGACTTTGATCGTCCTCACGCCAATCAAACTATCTTGGATAATCTTTTCGAACAAGACCAAGGTTATGATCCATCTATCCAGAATATTTATTTAGCTGGTGTGAAGGTGGTTGAAGGTATTGTGAATGGCTGGAATAGTACATTTGCTGGGGGCATTCAAGCTACTAATTACGTGGGAGACATACTTGGTACGCTAGGTGGTGAACCAGATTTTGGACCAGGCTCAGTCTTTCCAAAGAAGAAGATGAAGCAAAGGAGGGGTATGAAACGCCACTGAGCGCACCTTGTTGGATTTTGTATAAATAAGTCAGAGAAGAAAGTTGTACTAGTAACATATGGAAATAGTCAAGGAGATTCAATGAATTTACCGATTCTTTTCCGGCCCCCCAACAGCCCAGTTCATGATTGCGAGTAGCTCCATTGGCGACGAATTCCTTCAGGTCGGTCAGTCTGCGCCGACGAATGTAGACCAGCACCATAAGCAATTTGATCAACATCTAATGATCTGGTCCAGGTTTTCGTCACTCGAGCTTTTATCGATGTATTCAACTTGTGTGTAAGATTTAAGCATGGGGAAAACCTTCGAGTTTCTGTTATCAACCGCATCAAAGTGCGTCCAGGAAAAGTATTTTCTCGGAATTATCCAATGAGCTCAAGCTAATTTTTCACTGGGGAAAAGATGTAAGATCTTACTAAGTAAGCAATTGTCCCACACAATCTCAAGGGAGAAGAATAGAAGGAGAACTTTTAAACACATGACCGTTAAAGCTATCTACCAGCATTGAGTATATAATTCATAGGCAAATCCTCTAAAATCACCTCCTTTTCACCTCGAAGACAGGAGTGAATGCATAGAATTTCAATGCAGTGTCCTGGTATAACACCCATAGTTCCCTTACCTTGGAATAAAGCATACGTCTCCCTTTTTTCATGTTTTATGCAGGAACTAGCCCGTCACACCTGAAGGTTCCCCACTAGTTCATCGAATTAGTCTTGATGTAACCTCGATAGAGATTTGATACATGTACCACATCAGTATAAGCCGAGGCACTCGCACGGCTGCGGTGACAGTAGCTAAGACTGCATTATAGTAAATCAAATCATGGTACACTGCATCACTGATGAACCCCGAAGGATTCCCCAAGAACTAGTTATGCAATGCATCAACGTTTTTGTGTTCCCTCCACAAAACCACAACAGGAAACTATACCAGGAATGATGATAATATCCCGATATATTTTAGGGTCGTTGGAATCATTCTTCACACCCATTATATCGACGGAGGAAAATTTCCTCATGTCTCCGCCCGCTTGATTGCATAATCGCGATTTTAATCAAATTCGAGCTTACAAATTCATTCCACTGCGTGATGTGAAACTGTGTTCTGTGATACTCTATGATCAATCGATTGTTCGAGCCGTTCGAAGCGTAGTTTTCCTTGCTTTGCCATAATCGAAAATTGTCGGTTTGATGTACAGTATGCTGTGACGTCCGCAATGCGAAGGATTGCTCAGGATCAATATTTTCCTGGTTCTTTTTGTAGAAAAGCTGTGCGGTATACCGATGAGAAGTAATTTGAGGAAACAGAACACCACCTTCCGAATATTGAAATTTTATATTTACCCAGTGTAGATTTATTCATTTCACCACTCCAATCCTTGCAGGGTGGAATGTGCTCGGCGTGCAAGACACATTAGTAAGCGATTTTGAAACCAATTGATTGATTGAATAATAAGTGATAAGGATTCAGGAACAACTTTGGTACCTGCATTAGGGTCTGGGGGCTTTCGGGGGCGAACACATTGTGATAGTTGAGAGAACGCATGGTAACAGGGAAAACATTCCGGGCCATGACCCGGAATGTATGCCGATAACACATGATGTACAAGTTGATGAACGCTTATGATGAAAAGTATATTTAGATATTTCTTCAAATTTTATCCTTCTCCGCGAAAATCTATTTACATGTGACCCGTAATGCTGTCTATAATCTATATCTATGATGATGATATTGATGATGCGAAGTAGGGCAGAAAACGTGATATATCTTTGTTTAAAAAACAATATAGTGTACAAGTGCTATCATAACTCGACAGTCACAGCAGTAGGAACTGTGCATGACTTCGAGGTTCCAAATATGGCATCTAGCCACGATTTTAGTTCTTCTCTAGGACCAAATTCTGCCACAAGTCGAGAGGGCTCATCCATAATTACATGAGCAATTTCGGTAGCATTGCCCAGTGTGTCTTGGTTGTTTGCGCAGCGAGTTTGGGAAAAGATTCCATTCACTAGTTCCGAAAAGGCCTCGATTGCCTCAGGGATTCCAAAACGTAAGAGAAGTGCGATAATGGGGAAGACAGCAAAGAAGCCTAGAATTCGGCGTGTAGAAGACTTCTGTGGCAAGGTGGATATAATATGTGCTAGAACAAGAAGCGCACAAAGACACGACAGCACAGCTAAAACTGAAGAAGGAAGGACGTGTATGTATATGGTAGAGAGTCCAAAGGTAGACACGAGAGTTAAGGTACAAGCATGTCCTCCATTGCACTATGATAGGCATTAGTAATGAGGATGATCGTTGTGTAGAAAGAATGAATTTTGAATGCAATATAAAACTTACAAGGATTATGACAGCAGCCCATAAAAGTGCCTTGAAGATACTGTAAATCGAGAGACTAAGAATCCCGGGACTTTGTTGCTGTGAAACCAAGAGGATAACAGTCAGGAAGCAAACTACCCAGCAGCATGTTCCTTCCAGGTCTAAAAAGAGTTGATGCACGGAGGGAGCTTCATCACGGGAATCAGATGGCGTGCTTAGACGTGAATAGATGGTCGTTTGGCAGATGAGGAATATGAGGCCTAGACCGATAGTGATAGGGTTGTATGCCGAGGGGAGAAAGATAACACTAGTTGAAATGGCGACAAGAATATAAAATAATAAATTGTAGCCATAATTGGTTGAATGTTCTAATTTCTCGGATTTGGAGTGGCTAGGAAGGACATGATAATCGGCATCACTATTTCGAGTGACAAAGTAGAGTGCTGGAGTAAAGAATGGCTGCAGGAAGTTTTAGAGTTTGAGTAATAAGTCGACGGATAATGGGGGACAAACCAGTATCCAATTAACTTCAACAAGCGATGCACAAACACTAGATGTAACGATAAAGAATGCAAGACTTGTTGATTCGTCCTCGATATCACCGCCTCGGCAATATGGTATCTTCTTTCGGGAAATGAACGAATAGACTTTGATACCGGCCCAAAGTATACACCAACATGACCACTCGGAAAAGAGATTCAAAACTTGTGGGGTATCATCGAAAGCAAACGAATAAGACATTCTAGAAGGATAAAAAGAAGAACTAATAGAGACAAGGGTATAAGGATTGTGGAGAAATGAACAAAACAAGGGTATTGAGCAACGTAATCAAAAAAGAGAATATCTATGTAGAAACGGCCAGTATCATTTTAACAAAGCGGTTGAACCACCAGAGTGCAACTCTAATTTTCCAGGGAGGCATGATGTGGTTTTATGAGGACATGCCAAGAATAGTGTCAGCCTGTCCGCAGACCCCTCGTTGAATGGGAGTCGAAGGATTTACGCGCTTGAAGGCTTAGGAGGTATGTGTTTCTATAATTGGATGGTAAGCTTGCTACAGAACCAGTGTTTTTGAGTGAAAATCAAAAGACGAAGGAGATGAAGGGAATGAGGGGGATAACATATATTGTCAAAGTGCCCTAACTTTGAAGGCTACATTAATCCTACAGTAATTTCTCGAACTTGAAGTTACTTGGCGATGACCAACGAACAAACAAACAGACATGTTGGAATCTTCTAGGATTCAAGGATATACCAAAGCAAAGATAGGTATGAGAGAAACAACACGACAAGAAACGGAAAGAAGACCAGGATTTATGCAGTTCTGTTGGTATCTCGTTGGTGGTGTCATTTGTGTGTGTGTTGGTTAGATATTTCACAAGTAAACAAACTTTGATCAAAGTGAATCAGATACCTAGATACCTGGGTAGTATATCTTCATACTTGGCAGGTAGGTAGATAGATACATACCTACTTAAGTACGATGTAAATCGAGGATACCTTCTAGTTACGATTCACGATTGGAAGAAAATGCTGGGGGGCTTGGCAAACGAGACATCACGTGAAAACGGTTTGACGCCAGCTACTGAGGCCGATAACGCGCATTTGAATAATACACCAAAAATAGATTTTTGCCTAATGAAAAAAGAAATTTTAGAATCTGTATAATATATTTATAGAAATCTTATTCTATATAATAGAAATCAATTTTATTGAAGACTTTTTGAAAAAAAAATTATATTATTGAATAGCCCTTAGAGCTAGCTTTATTTATTTGATTTTAGAATTTATTTTTCAATTTTCTATAAGAAATATACTAATATTTAAAATCTAATTTCAAATAATTTTTTTGATAATGCATAGACTATTTTGGGATAAATAAAATAAGTTTAATCAGAATTTTTATTTAAAGCTCAAACCTAAATTTATTTCGCTTAAATCGTATAATTAATATAGCTTTAAATACTTTTTATAATATTAAAAAAAAAGAATTCAATTTAGTATACAACTTGAAACAAATTAATAAAATAAAACAAAAAGAGAAAAAATTATTAATTAGAGTTTAAGAAATCGATTGATAAACTTACTTTTGAATAATCTCAAAAATTGAAATTTCTATCAAATTTGATATAATTCTAATCAATAAATCTATTTCTCAAATATTACTAAGATTTAATAATTAATTACATCTCGAATAAATTGATGACTAATTGAGCCTTGAGTCTTGAATAATATTATTAATAAAAAGAAAACTATTCAATCCAATATACAACCTTAAAGGAATTAATAAAATGAAAAAAAAAAAGAATTGTAATTATTAATTAGAATTTAAGGAATCGATAGGTATAATTATTTTTAAATTATTCTAAAGATTGAAATTTATATTAAATTTAATAATATTTGAAGAATAAAAAACTAAATATTTCAGTCTAATCTTTAATCTCTTATTTATTAAATATTATTAAATTGAATATAAATTTCAATTTTTGAGATATTTCAAAAAAAATTATATTTATTGATTCTTTGAATTTTAATTAATAGTCGTATTTTTTTTCTTTTTATTTTATTAATTTCTTTAAAGTTGTATACTGAATTGAATACTTTTTTTTATATAAAAGCACACCATTAAATTCTAAATATTATTTTAGTTTAAGCGAAAATCTATTTTTGGTGTATTGTTCAAATGCGCGTTATCGGCCTCAGTACAGCGGCAGGCTATGTTTCGGCCTTTATCTCCCGCTAATAATAAATCTTGCGAGCGTGCGGAATGTATAACCTAGGTAGGTTATACATTTTTAGATCATCGTTCTTTACAACTCACGCCGAACTCAACAGACAACAGACAGAAGAGTCGAGAAAACTCATTTATTTTGGCACCCTCTTTCCTTGCCGATATGTGTTTTATAGCACAGTAACATCAACTTATTCAAGCCCCCATTCTAGACCGACTTCTACCAGCCACTACAATGGAAAACCAACATCTAGTGTCGTTGGTATCATTCGATCTTCGACAAATCCGTTGAGCTTTGCAGTGAAAACCGATGATGTTGCAAAACCCGTCCATTGTAGGAGTGGGGGAGACTGATCAATTAATATGAATTGGAGGAATTGTTTATCTCATCCACAGTGCCTTCTTACAAAGCCTCGACCCCAAAATCTCCTTCATAAACCTCTCTATCTTTCGCTTTTTTACCCTTCGTTGGAATCATCTGGTGCCCTTATCTCACACATGGTAAATGAGTAGGAGACGAAGGAAGTGGCGTGATCCCACGACGTTTCAAGGATTCGAACTGGTACAAATTGGTACCCATTGGAATCATTATCAAATCTTCCATGCATTTGAGTAACGAATGCTGTGCTTGCACGTAGTACTACCGCTTTTTGTGTTTTGCATTATGGTGCATTCAATACGGATTCGAAGTCGAAATACCAACAAATCATCGTGTACATGCACAATGTATAGTTCATTGTTGGCAGTGTTAAAAAAACAATTAAATTCTACTTTGGTGTTGCTATGCAAGCTGAGGTATACGATGGGCCCCTGCAGTGCAGTCATCCTTTAGCTGCGCCTTACCTCAAAGTGAGATTCTTACTTTAATTGGTAGCTTCCATTGACACGAAAGTCTTACATACCGCAATTATTCTAGAGATTCAATGTCACATTGTCAAGGGATTAAACCTGTGTTTGAGGACTAGATGTAATCTCGACATGATCAAGTCAAGGTAACCTAAGCTTGACATGGAGGCTGATGTATCTCCCAGCTTCACGGGAGGGCTGAGTGCCAATCGCTAGAAATATGCTGGAAAACTCTATCAGTCTCGATTACTACACATATAGGACGGACTGAATCCTTCGTGGTGGCCTGTTCTGCAAAATTGCTTTCAGTCATATCCATCTTGTGAATCCTGCTTTCTAATCTTTAGATCGGCCGTAATCACCTACCTGTGGCCACAGGTTCTTCCTAATATCTCACCCTCTAGATTATTGATGAATATACAACTCTGAGCACTTAGATATGGCGAGTTCCTTACGACTTTCGAGGCGACGACAATGTTCTAGCTCATTATTCTCTTTCTGCGGCGGGCAATTGACTGGCTCGATATCTGCGATACTGGTTATTTTGCTATGTTTGGTGCAGCCGTCGTGGCAACAGAAAGATCCTTTGAACGATTTTTGTAGGAGATGGGGACATCAAACGACTGTCATTGATCGACAATTATTTATCGATGGCGGAATGCTCGATTGGAATCCATTGTCGCAGAATCCAGCTAATTATTCAAGTAAGTTATTATCAGCAACAAGACATTATTGGCTCATGAATTACGCAACTGATGGTATGATAGATTCTTGGCTTCTATATAATGATCTCGACACAAGTCCAGCGGGGCCAGGAATGCCCCAGTTACACGCCAATCTTTCAAAGAATGCGTCGATACCGAATGTGAGCGGAGGTGTACTTTGGGGAGATGAGGTCAACAAGAGATTTTATCTTTTTGGCGGCGACAACTTCGGCAGTTCACCAAGCGCACCCAATCTTTATTCGTACGACCTGCTGTATAATCAATGGGAAAATTTTGGTTCGCCTAATGGTGTTTCGAGCGTTTCGTATGGCATGGGAGTTAGTATATCCGAGCTAGGGCAAGGTTATATGCTTGGTGGATGGCAAAGCAATGCTTCAATTCCGGGATGGACTGGACCGCCTCTCGCAACGAGCGGCTTGATCAAGTATGATTATCAGTATGGAACATGGACAAACAATACTGGACCAGATCAGATTGGAAGAGCAGAGGGTGCCATGGTGTATCTCCCGGCGAGTCGCACCGGGATTCTTGTCTACTTTGGAGGTATACAAACGCCATACAACAATGAGACAATAGTAGCATCACCTATGAACCAGATTCATATTTACGACATCCAAAGTTCTATATGGTACACTCAAAACGCAACTGGAGATATTCCTGGAGACAGGAGGAGATTTTGCGCAGGTGCTACTTGGGCACCTGACCAGTCATCCTACAACATGTAAGTATTATATCGTCACGTTTTTTATGGCAATTTACTGATATTTTAAGCTATCTATATGGAGGTGCAGGCTTTGGAGCGAATTCTTCAGGATACGATGATCTCTATATTCTCAGTCTTCCTTCCTTCACGTGGATTAAGTGGTGGGAAAACGCTCCAAGTTCCGCGAGACCACACAATATGTTGAGCTGTAACGTGGTCAATGGAGCTCAGATGCTTATCGTGGGTGGATCATTTCCAAAAGATCAGTCGACTTGCGATAGTCAACCATCTTGGGGAACGCATAATGTCAATCTCAACGAACCAGCCCCAGGTCAGGCATCATTCAATCCATGGAATACCTATCAACCGGATCTTACCTCATACGCCGTACCTTCAGCCATAATTTCCGTCATTGGTGGATCGTACGTATTGATAGTCTGAAAGCTGAGATAAAATGCTGACAATGACATAGTCCTACAGGTGGCGCAACCATGCAAGCTCCTGCTACTGGGTTTCAAAACGGCGATCTGAATGTATACTTTTCGCAAAAAGCATCTGCCGTGAATCGTACACCCACTAGAGCAATTACCACTGCAACTGCTTCTTCAACATCCAACCCTTCTGGAACCAAGTTGGGCCCTGGTGCAATTGCTGGAATTGTTGTAGGAATAGTCGTTGTAATTGTCGGTCTTCTCGTTGCAGGCTTATGCATCTTTCGTATCCGTAAAAGTCGTGCTCACGTACCAGACGTCTCTGCGCCTATTGTACCTGCATATAACCCTGGGAACGCAACCAAAATGTACCCTCAACGACCAGATCGTAGTTACGATCCCCAAAATCCTCACATTGCGCAACAGCGGAGTACGTCAGCATACCAAGTGCTTCCTTCACATGCTCCCGATCCAGTCGAGCTATCCGGGACCAACTCGAGTTTAGGAAACTATACAACAGTTAATGCCGATGGTAATTCGATTCATAGTCCAAATCCGGATGGTGTACCTCCGTACACAAATACCTGGCAACACCCAAATTCACCGCCTCAGGATCGGAAGAGTTTTAGTCATACATCTCAACATAATCAATTTTCACCTGTTCCAACGGAATTGGACGGCGAAAGTGCTATATTTTCTGCATCTCCAACACCAACATATTCAACATTAGGAAGAATGACCTCGAAAAAGATAACTCCAATACACGAGACATATTATTCTTCTTGATGATTAATTTTGCTATCTCCCGTCTTAGCCTTATATCACTTTTTTCTTAGCGAGCGTGTGATGGGTCTGTATATACATGAGTTTTGGCGTTTTCAAATGAGGATGTGTTGAGGAGGAATATTATTACTTACTTACTTATTATTACGAACGCCCAAGTTCACGCTCGTCTTTTTTCTGGATGTTACATATCGATTTGCCAACGCAGTTGGATGAATTTAGTTGAATTAAAGCTACGATATTTTGGAGACTTTACTGTGCTCCTGCTCTGTGCCTCTGTTCTCTAAGCCACATGGCAAATTAACTTCCCAAAGTTGAGGTAGTCATTTATCCCCATGATTCTGCCTTACTATAATATAACTTTGATCAGCGCTTAGAATTTGTTTTTCTTCCGATCTAGATCTAGATATCAAGGATTCAGCGCTTAAGTTAAGACCAATCCCCCATGTTTCACTTCCAGAATTTTCAAAGAAGTACAGTACCATACTAATCCAATGCCATGATAAAGGTTGTTGAAAATTCAACCTCGTCGTTGAACGGCATGCCTTTGGTTGGAATGAATATAGTGATATTGGGCGTTCTGTTTACGCGCGAGATGAAATCCTGTGTTGCAAAGTACGGCCGCTTTCTGATGTACGTAGGTAGTACTTGGTATACAATATGTAGTACCAGTGGAGATTGTCCTCTTTTCAAAATACGCCTCAGTTTGCACCTTTGTTTTTTGTTTTCCTAGGAATAATAAACTGATACTTTCGCACTAAAATTCCATTTCTGAGCATCTAATTTCTTGTTTATGCGTAGCTTTAGCTTAGCAGAATACATTTTTATACGAAATTATCGTGAAACTATTCTACAATGTCTTACACAAAAATCATTCTCTGCGTCGTCGCTCTCGAAATACTCCGGAGAGCATGTATTTCCATTTACACTGCATTCTTCACCCCGCTCTCCAAAGTTCCCGGTCCCTTGAGTCTTAAATTATGCGGGAGTATATGGCTATATCATACTTTGCGGGGAGAAACGATGAACATCGCCCCAAAACTTTTCAAGCAATATGGTGATGTCGTGAGGATTGGTAGATCTTTCTTCCCACAGTTCACAAGGTATGGGTGTTAAAAATGAATAGGTCCGAACGAGATAATGGTCTCTTCCAAATCCGCCATCCAGAAAATTGTAGTCGAAGACGATTTTAGGAAAAGTCCCCTCTATACTCTTACCCAGGAAGATCAACGTGTAAGTAATTTGTTTACGGAGACGGATACTAGGGTTTATAAACAGAAGGTCTGTATCCTCATCCCCCTATTTCTATCTTGATTCAATTGAGAATCCATAGCACAGAGGCTAAAGACATACATTAGAGGAGACCTTTGTCCGCCGGATTCTCCATCTCTTTCTTAAACGCAATGGAACCACTCATGAAATCATGTGTTGATTTCATGGTTGAGGTGTTAAAATCGAGATGTGTTACGGATATCGAGAGTGAGGATGGCAGGGCTGTAGTTGACATGTTTTCCATGCTTGGGAATCTAACAATGGACGTAATGTCTGCGACTCTCTTCGGTGGATCATTCGGTCTTGTCATCAATGAAGATCCACATGTGAAAAACTTATTCCTCAATCGTCTACGTAGGGTATATATTGATGTCGTCCTACCATTCGTCAAATATATCCCATTCATACCAAGTCCTGTTCAGGAGATGGATCGCATGATTGATGGGATTATCAAGACGAGACGGGCAGAGATGGGAAGAGGTAGAAAAGGGTTGGAAGAAAAGAAAGTAAGAGAGAGAAAGGATTTGTTACAAATTTTCTTGGATGCGAATGAAAATGATCCAAAGGGATTTACTGACAAACATTTGATGGAGGAAATGAGGTTATTCATGTATGCTCCCTTTCTGATCTCACGCAAGAAAACGCCTAACCTCTTATAGGATCGCCGGCAGCGACACAACAGGCACAACTTGCACCTTTACACTTCTTCTTCTCCTTAACAATCCCTCTAAATTACAACTACTTACACAGGAGATCCTCTCTGCGTTCCCATCCCAGAACGACACCATCACCTTTGCAAATACACAAGAATTGCCATATTTAAATGCCGCGATTAATGAGAGTATGAGACTCATGCCAATGGTCGTATCAGGGTTGCCCAGATATACTAGTGAGACGAATTGGATTGATGGGTTTGAGATTCCTGCTCATGTACGTCTTTAATCCATCCCTTCCCTCCAATTTTCTTTGTGTATCTTTATTGTCCCCCAGAACTTTGAAATAGCATTGAAAACACAATGAGAAAGCGATAATTCTGACACAAATCAGGTAACAACCTACGCTTTCCCCAATATCCTTCAAGTCGACCCGCGCATCTGGCCCGACGCCGATTCATACATTCCCGAACGCTGGCTCGACGATTACAAAGGTGCACCCGTGGACAAAAAAGCATTCCTGCCGTTTTCAGGCGGAGTAAGAAATTGTATTGGACAGCAGTGAGTCTTCCTTTTCCTTATTATCCCACCACGGAACTAATATCAGGAGATAAAATACTAACACAAAAACTCAATAGATTTGCACTACGCGAAATTCGTCTCATCCTCGCTACGGTGATTAGAAGATTCGAATTAGATCTGATACCGGGACAAAGTCATGAATTGAAAGTTCATGCGGTGCCGTATTTTAAGGAGGGGAAGTATTTGATGGGGGTGAGGGTTAGGAAGGAGTAGATGATGGGGAGAGCTGTGATGAGATGGTATGGCTGGTATGAATTTGTATGGTTGGCTTGGAGTTTGGGGGTTTGAGTACCTAATCGTACATAGTGTGATGGACACTGTTGGAAATGGCAGTGTTACTTTCAAACAGACACTTGAACAGGCATTTTTGAAAAAAGAATAACATTTGGTTTATGATATCTAGCTAGCTTTTATACGGATAAAGCAAAAAAAGGGACTAAATGGTCGGTCATGCCTTAAGATTAGGCCATCTCCTCCCTCCAACAATCACCTCCTTCAACAGCTCCTGCCCCTGGCAATTACTTCCTCTACAAGTCCCGAGTGCAACCACACTGGCTCTTAGTTCTCCTCCACATTCGCAATATTGATAGTAGTGTATATTAAATCAAATAATAGTATTTCTTAGAATCTATAAATAAAAAATATTGTAGATATTAAAGAGAGAGACTTATATATATAAATTGAATATTAGATTTAAAAGAGAGAAAAAGACAAAGGATTTATTATTTAATTATTAATTAGTAATAATAAAAGAGTCTTTTTTATTATTAATTTTTAGTAATTATAAAATAGTTTTAAATGATTTAAAAAAAACTTATTGAAAAAACTTATTAGAAAAACTTATTAAAAGAATTTATTAAAAAAATTTATTAAAAAAATTTATTAAAAAAATTTATTAAAAAAATTTATTAAAAAATTTATTAAAAAAATTTATTAAAAAGATTTATTAGAAAAACTTATTGAAAAAATTTATTGAAAAAATTTATTGAAAAAACTTATTAAAACTTATTAAAAAAAACTTATTAAAAAACTTAATAAAAAGATTTATTAAAAAAACTTATTAAAAAAACCTATTAAAGAATTTTATATAATTTTTTTATAAAAAATTATTAAAAAAACTTATTAAAAAAACCTGTTTGTACATAATAATATTTTATTTATAATAAATTATATTATTATATTTAAAGATATTTAAATTTAGATTTAAAAGATTATTATAAGTTTAAATTATATAGTATTCTATTAATTCTACATAATTATTACTATAAATCTTTAAGTAGTATATTGAAGTTTGCTAGGTATATAAAATCAGAATATCTAATAATTATTTATAGTTAATTTCTATTAGAAATCCTTAATTATAAAGAATAATGTATTCACTAATTTATATAAAAGAGAATGATCTGATTATTTTTTAATATTAGTTATTAGATCAAACTAAAACTTATATTATAATATTATCATAAACAGTATTAGTTATTTATATCAAACTTTCAAATTATTTTGTATTACTATAATCTCTTCTATTTATTGAATATCAGGTTTTTCTTTCTCTTTCTGATGTTGATTACCTGTTGGTACTAGCTTTAATACTCTGTCTAAATTCCATGAGAGCTAAACAGTGGCGTTCAAACTGCTTCTGAACAAGTTGAGCTTCAAAGGCTCTTCGTCAATCTCGTCGGTTTGCGCACTAGCGTCGGCCCCGGATTTAGCGCTGATGGCAGAAGCATCTGACTTGAACAAATTCTGGACTTCGTTCATTGCTTGTCATGGCTAAGATCTCTCAGTGGAGGTAGTAGTGCTAGTGAATTATTACTATCTATAGTAACAAAAGATCTATATTCTAGCTCTATAACTAGATATAAAGACTTAACTAGATAGAGGAAGTTGCTTTTCATATACTATTCGATTCTCAATATAACTCGATCTCCTGTCTCGAAAAATAGTTATTGAATTTAATTGAAAACTAAAATAATAAGAGTTACTTATATAAGTATGTTTATATTTCACTATCTAGATAATACTTAAATAAGAATATTATTATTAAAGAACTAGTCGACCGCTTACGAAAGTCAACTATTAGTAAGAGTTCTAGTCCTTGCTCAGCGCACCCCTGTGACAAATGTGACAAAATCCCCGCAAAAATAAGGTTTTCTCATACAAATTATTTTATTTAATATTTCATTCAAATCATTATATTTTCTTTTTAAAGAAACTGAAAATAATAAATAATTATAATTAAAATACAAAAAATTATTCGAAATATTTTTTTGTTATTTTTGTTGAATAGTTATATAGTATTAAAATCGAAATTTTCCAAAAATTCTAATATGTAATATTTTTTCTATACAAAATAAGCGAATTTTCATGAAAATTTAAAGCTTTTAATTTTAACTCCTTCAAATTCTATTTAAAAAATTAGAAAAAAATATTCTATTCATTTTTTTATACAATTTGATTAATTAAATAATATTTTCCTAAAGAATTTCTTATTTT